TTCATACTGCCTTGTGTTTTCATATTACTTATGGTTCCATGCTAAGATTTATGTATCTGTTGGGGCGGATATCTCTTCCACTTTTACGTGAGGGCTGTCTTAATAAGCAACCTTCTCTTAACAATGTGTTTGAAGTATGGTTTTATTGTGTAGTGTTGAGTTTTATTCCAATTGGGTTTCATAGTATACTCTCCCTATGGCTTCTTTGGCTGTGATTAGTAAGTTTTGACACAAGGCACACTGTATCAGAGCCTGAGGAATGCTTAATATGTAGTTCGTGAAACAGTGGGTCCCTCTGGTAATTTAGGCTGATGTGTTACACACCACAGACCATGAGGGATGCACCCTTGTGAATACTCCTACATTGGGAGTGGAAGCCCTTATCATGTGGTAAGGGTTTCCATTGCCACTATTGAAATTGGCTCTGTTAGGTGAAAGCAATTCTGATATTGACTCTTTCAACTGGGGTGAAGGACCTGAAGCTTTCATCCTCTGTTTAGCCCTTAGTATACTTCCTGGTGTTTCACATGGAGAGCCACAGGCTGAGATTAGAGCCCACCCTCTGCAGCACTCATGTCCAGGTTGACAGGATGTAGGAGCAAGTGATGTTGAGGAACCTCATAGGTGTCATATCCACATAGAAGTATTATTTCTCTTTGCTCTTATATGGGGTGACTGTCGAGGAACAGAACATCAGACCCCTCTAGTTGTACACACTTGTTATCATATCATTGTTTAGGGGCATTCTTTAAGTTGATGTATCTGCCAAGGTTCAGGCAGGATTGGGTCATGCTAGATGCAGTTCCTCTCAGCTGGGCTGGAAGCGTAGCTCAGTGACAGTGCAGCAACCCAATATCTGCTAATTCCTGGGCTCAGTCCCCAGTTTTGAAAAAAAAAAGGGGAGGGGGGTAAAAACAATAACCGAAAAGAAAGGGTAAAAAAATAGAATATATGTGTGTGTGTATTAATGTTTTAGTTGTAGAGGGACACAATATCTTTATTTTATTTATTTTTATGAGGTGCTAAGGATCAAACCCAGTATATCACACATGCCAAATGAGTGCACTACCACTGAGCCACAACTCCAGCCCCAGAATAAAAATATTTTTATAAAAGGAAAAGAAAGCAGGAGAAAATTTTTAAAAAATCACAATTATAAAAGGGAAGAAATGAAAAAGAGAAAAATAAAAATAATAGCATACTGGCTAAGGGCTCTTCAGCCCCCAATTCTTTTCATCGTGGTGCTCTCCAGGTGACTGGCAGGAATGCTTTGTGGCTGAGGCTTTTAGGAGTCCCTCTAAGCTGCTTTGCACACTGGACTGAGCCACCACAGAATGTATAATTCACTAAGCAACAATCTCTTCCTAGTCTCTTGGGCTACACATCCCAGGGTGAAGCCAAGCCTCTGCCTTTAGGCAGAGATTCTTCCCAGAGTTCCTTGGGTTGTATGCTTCAAGGGACAAACACTAGTGCATGTCACCAGGAGCGCGGCAGGTGGGGAGAGGCCATGGGGTTCGAAGATCTATGCTGGGAGCAGAGGTAGCAAGTTCCATGAGATCTACCATCCATTTTGCTAGAGCCCCAATTTTGGATTTGACATGAAATCACACTCAAGGGATCAGCCTCACGCTACCACCATTCTAACAGCAGATCTCCCAAACTGTCAACTGTCAAGAAAGTACCTTCCACACCACAGACTGCAATTCCCACCACATAGAATTCTGAGCGGATTTGTGCAGAAGTCTTGCACCTGAGCCAAAACTGTCTCCTGGAATAAATGCCCACTGAGCCTGGGATAAGAAAAGGCCATTGGATCTTGGAGCTAGAAAAATGCAGGTACTTCTGATCCCCTTTACAACAAGTCAAACAACAGAACCCTTCTCAAGATGGCTCCCAGTTATGGCACTGTATGTATAAGCAGGAAATGCAGAGATCTTCTCTGGCACCAGCATGCTGTGCAGATCCCAGGTCTCTTGTCTCTTTCAAATTGTCAGATTCTAGGCTTGTGGAGATCACCAGGGCTCTGTCCTCCTCACCTGTACTCCTGCTGGGGGGGAACTCCCCCTCCCCCTGCTAAGCCTTCAAGCCTGGGTGCCGGGACACTGTTCTCTTACTACACTAATATCTAATATATCTGGGTTTCACCTGGTCACTGAATCTCTACTATTGCATGCCCATACTTTCCTATGACCACCCACCTCAACATGCAGCTACATGCCTGTTGTTCTGGTTCTGTCTTACAAGAAGCAGAAGAGTCCTCTAACCTGCCATCTGTGTGCTTTTCTCACTCTCTTTCTACCTCCAGATACTGTGAGTCTTGCCCAAGGTGGGCTTCACAGATTGTCAGGTTGCACATGGCTTCAATCACATCTAAATAGCTCAATTTAACTGTTAGAGATCATTTTTTTAAAGAAGATACCTTTTCCTTGGCTGTTTCCAAATATATCAGTTTTGGTCTATATGTGACAACTTTCTTGGATATGGAAAAAAACTCATGTTATATGCCATTTGCTGCTTTGGTCTAAAGCTTCACTAATACTTTCCACATATCTCAGCAGAAGTTAAAGTCTTTAAATAAATATACAAATAAGGTGACAATAACATACTTTTTCATTAAAGAGAAGTGACACGGAAAGAACAAGCAAAAGTTCTTTGAAAGTGTCTTCTGTGAGGACAGAAGACTAGCTCAGATTCAGGTAAAGGGCAAGAATGACAGCTGAAGAAGTTTCCCATCCTCTCTTCTCATCTTTTTTTTAAAAAGTATTTTCTAGTTGTAGATGAACTCAATACCTTTATTTTGTGTATTTATTTTTATATCTTGCTGAGGATTCAACCTAGCACCTCACAAGTGCCAGGCAAGTGCTCTACCACTAAGCTACAAACCCAGCCCCTCTTCTCATCTTCTTAATGCTACTGTCTAGAGCCCTAGTCCCATCTTGGGTAACCATGGTAACTAAAGAGCCAGACTCTCCTAATGCTTAAGGAAATATAAGAGGGAGCACTTAAGAAGGCTGCTGTGGTTCCTCCTACACCTGATGGACAGGGGAGAACAAAATGCTCAGCCAGTGTCTCTCAGAGAAACAGCAGAATCTGGTACTAGTGCACTGCTAATGATTTGAAGTTTAAATGTCCTTGAAAAGTTCATATGTTAAAGGTTTGGTCCCCAGCTGATAGCTCTGCTAGGAGGTGGTGGCACTTTTAGGAGGTGGGGCCTAGCTGGAGGAAGTAAGTCATTGGTGTGTGGTCAGAAAGGGTACATTTGGATCCCTGCTCCTTCCTTTTTTTTCTCTCTGTGCTTACCAGTTATGAGCTGGGCTGGGGATGTAGCTCAGTAGTAGAGCACTTGCCTACCATGTCAAAGGACCTAGGTTTAATTCCAGCACCACATAAAAAAATGATAATAATTTAAAAAACAAAAGCACCAGATGCCATGAGCTGAGTGTCTCTGCTCCACCGTTTGTTCCCACCATGATGTTCTGTCTTACCACAGGCCAAAAGTAATGGGGTCAGCTGACCAGGGACTGAATCTTTGAAACCACGAGCCAAATTAATCTTTTCTCCTTTCAAGTCATTGGAAGTGTTTTGTCACATGACAGAAAGCAGACTAACACAAACACCTGAGAAGTTAGTTCATTCTACTTACAGATTTTGAAATTGAGGAAGCTGAGGCTGAATCTTCCTTAATTAATATTACTTGGTACCCTCGGTACCTTTCTGGCAAAAACACAACCCTGTTGTCCTCATATAGCACTGCTTTCTGTCCACCGATTCCCAGGGCCTTTTAATCCAGGAAGCTACCCAGCAGTGAAAAGGACCCAATAACCAAGCCACCATTAATTCCCCCAAGGCGAGTCTCACTTCTTTTTGCCATTTTTAGAAATTATAGGTATTTTCCAATACGTATAATAGAAAGCTGAGAATAATCAAACCCCGGTACATATTGTCTACTTAAACAATCTTCAATTTATCACTCTGGAAAGAGAATTTTGAAACAAATTTTGGATATCATTATTTCTTGTTAAGTAGTAAATACTTAAAGAAATCATGTAGCTACAAATGCATCAGGCACTTTTCTTCAGGGAGCTTAGGTCTCTACTGCATACCCTTCAGCTGTGCATATATTTTCTATTTAATTTCACAGCTCTAGTGCTAGTGGGCAGTTAGCAAGACTACTAAGTTGCTCTGTGACCCTATATATGCACTGACAATATTAGACTTTCATGCAGTGAGGAATTCTGGTGAAGGGATTGTTTGGACAGTAAGAAAATTGAACTTATGTCAAGAGATAAGCACATTTCTTCCTTAAAGATAAACCATTGACATTGAGCACCTGCTAAACTGGGCTTAGATCTGGCCTGAGATTTAAAGTCAATTTCCTCCATGAGTCCATATGAAAGGCACTAAGCAATGTAATTCTTAATTTTAATAAATCCACAAATTTTCACATCAATGGGATTATGGCTGTCCTAGGGCAGAGATGATTTACTTGTCCTAAGGACAGAATGGAAGTTTAAAATTAAACAATAAATACAGTAATACTTTTCTTTCGTACAGCCACTGAATTCTTGCCCATAGGAAAAAAATACATCAAAAAAGACTGTATTTAGAAGTTTTAATTCACAAATAAGACTGTACTACTGAACTAAGTAAATAGGGATGTCATTGTGAGTATATACAGAAACATGGACGCCCGTCACCATAATGTGGATAAGTAACATTTCATTTCTAATCTTCTCTTCTGCTTCCTCCTCCTCACACCTTAGTTTTCTATATGAATTTACAAATATATATTTAAAAACAAGAATATATTAAAGAGTCAATACAAAAATAGGGGAAGCCAGAACTCTTAAGTTATGTTATCCTTAAATTTTATTCATTTGGAAAAATTCATTCCAAATATGAACGTTTTTCTGAATAGAAGTCCGCAAAACACAGTTTTCTACCTTTTGAAAACTTGGAACATTTTATCCTGTCTTGCAACACAGTTCAGACACTCATACCTGCTGAGGTTTCTCTGAATTTGTCACTAGTCTTCTTTTTCCTCCATTTCCAAGGCTTGAAGATTTTACCAATGGTGGAGAGCTTCCCCTTTCTCTTGAAGGGAGGCGTCTGGGAACCTGCTGTGGGGCCATCTGAGTTGGCTATAGAGGCTTTGTCCAGTCCATCAACTATAGAAAGAAAAGTCAAATCAGAGAAAGGCTTCAATGAAAGTTAAAACCAGCATCAACTATCTCTTCCTGGACTCTTAACAGCAAGCATACCTACTCTGATTGAACCTCACATAAAGTTGAGTTTGTCCCATTTCACAGCTGGTAGGACTCCCCTGATATCAATCAGTTAATCAATCCGTCAGAAATTATAGTCCCCTTAGGTAATGGTACTTGGGAAATAAGAAAGCAAGAGACTTACATAACAGGTGGGGACAGACAAGTGAAGTTCTGCAAAACACAGCTGAATCCATCGGCAACAACCACATCAATATTTTGTGCAGAAATAGAGGATTCTAAGTATTCCAGAAATAGGATGTTCCTCTGGAGGCTAGTTTTGCATTCTCAGTAATGAATATCACAGTTATGGTGTAGTTAAAACCATAGTTTCTCCTTCACAAAATACAATTTGATGCCAGGAAGCTAAATGCTATTTTTACAATGCTAAAACTATCTTTTGCTCCTGTTACAAGGGAAAAAAAATTAAAAGTTTTCAGCTTCAATTTATCTGATAACTATCACTAACAGCAAGAAATATGTGGAAGATGCAGGTATTGTGTGTGATAAAACATATCTTGATATGGCTTTGTCATTTTATTAATCAGAAGAAAAGCACAAAATCTTGTTTCCTTGCACTAAGTTCTAAACAGAAGGGAGATAACAATGACTTACATTACCCCAACTACCAGATTTTAGTGACAAAGAATTAGAAGCAGCCCAGAATGGATAAACTACAGTATTATTCATTCAATGAAATAGCTTTTAGCACTTTAAAAAATGAGCAGATGGATAAATATGCAATAAAACTAAATACAGCAAAATGTTAAGTGTTGGATCTAGGTGCTAGGTTTGTGGGGGAGGTACGATCCTTTTGTCCTTTCTGTATTTTTTGAAAACTCGCATAATAACACATTGGGGAATCATATGATCATCTCAATAGATGCAGAAAAAGCATTTGACAAAATACAGCATACCTTCATGTTCAAAGCACTAGAAAAACTAGGGATAGTAGGAACATGCCTCAACACTGTAAAAGCTATATATATGTGTGTTAAACCCAAGGCCAGCATCATTCTAAATGGAGAAAATTGAAAGCATTTTCCAGTGGAAAATGGAAACAAGACAAAGATGTCATCTTTCATCACTTCTATTCAACATCATGCTTGAAACTCTAGCCAGGGCAATTAGACAAAAGAAAGAAATTAAAGGGATACAAATAGGTAAAGAAGAACTCAAACTATCACTGTTTGCTGATGACATAATTCTATATCTAGAAGATCCAAAAAATTCCACCAGAAAATTTATAGAATTAATAAGTGAATTTAGCAAAGTAGCAGGATATAAAATCAACACCCATAAATCAAACACATGCCTATATATCAATGATGAATCCACTGAAAGAGAAATTAGGAAAACTGCTCCATTCACAATAGCCTCAAAAAACAAAACAAAACAAAACAAAACAACAACAACAAAAAAAAACCCCTGGGACTCAATCTAACAAAAGAGGTGAAAGATATCTGCAATGAAAACTACAGAACACTAAAAAAAGAAATTGAAGAAAACCTCAGAAGATGGAAAGTCTCCCATGCTCCTAGATAGGCAGAATGGCCATACTACCAAAAACATTATATAGATTTAATGCAATTTCTATTAAAATCCCAATGACATTCTTCATAGAAATAGAAAAAGCAATCATAAAATTTGTTTGGAAAAATAAGAGACCCAGAGTAGCTAAAGAAATCCTTAGCAAGAAAAGTGAAGCAGGAGTCATCACAATACCAGACCTTAAACTATACTACAGAGCTGAAGTAACAAAAATGGCATGGTATTGGCACCAAAATAGACTTGTAGACCAATGGTACAGAATAGAGGACACAGAGACAAACCCACATAAATACAGTAATCTCATACTGGACAAGGGTGCCAAAAACATTCACTGAAGACAAGACAGCCTATTCAACAAATGGTGCTGGCAAAACTGGAAATCCATATATAGCAAAATGAAATTAAATCTCTCTCACCCTGCACAAAAATCAACTCAAAGTGTATCAAAGACTTAGGCACTAGAACAAAGACCCTGTGCCTAGTAGAAGCAAAAATAGGCCTAAATCTTCACCACGTCGACCTAGGATCTGATTCCTAAAGCACAAGAAGTAAAATCAAGTCACAATAAATGGGATGGATTCAAATTAAAAAGTTTCTTCTCAGCAAAGGAAACAATTAATAATGTGAGGAGACAGCCTACAGATTGGGAGAAAATCTTTACTACATGCACTTCCAATAAAGCATTAATCTCTAGGATATATAAAGAACTCAAAAAACTTAACACCAAAAAAACCAAATAACCCAATGAATAAATGGGCTAAGGAACTGAACAGACACTTCACAGAAGAAATACAATTTATCAACAAATATATGAAAAACTGTTCAACATTTCTAGCAATTAGAGAAATGCAAATCAAAACTACTCTAAGATTTCATCTCGCTCCTGTCAGAATGGCAATCATCAACAATACAGGCAACAATAAATGTTGGTGAGGATATGGTGAAAAGGTACACTCATATGTTGCTAGTGGGACTGCAAATTGGTACAACCACTATGGAAAGCAGTATGGAGATTCCTCATAAAACTGGTAATGGAACCACCATTTAACCCAGCTATCCCACTCCTTGGTTTATACCCAAAGGACTTAAAATCAACATACTACAGTAATGCAGCCACATAAATATTTATAGCAGCTCAATTCACAATAGCTAGACTATGGAACCAACCTAGGTGTCCCTCAATAGAAGAATGGACAAAGAAAATGTGGTATATATACTCAATGGAAATTACTCAGTTTTAAAGAACAGTGAAATTATGGCATTTGCCAGTAAATGGTTGGAGTTGGAGAATATTATGCTAAGCAAAATAAGCCAATCCCACAAAACCAAAGGTCTAATGTTTTCTCTAATTTGCGGATGCTAATTCACAAGAAGGCAGGGGGCACTAGGGAAGAATAGTGTTACTTCAGATTAGGTAGAGGGAAGTGACAGGAGGGGAGGGGATGTGGGGATAGGAAAGATAGTAGAATGAAACACACATTATTACTGTGTGTACATATGTGACTACATGACCAATATGATTCTGCAACATGTAGACTCAGAAAAATGAGAAATTATATCCCATCTATGTATGGTATATCAAAATGCATAAATGCATTCCATTGTCATGGATAAGTAAATAAAACAAATTTAAAAATTTAAAAAGAGAAACAAATAAAAACCAAAAATTGAATAGCAAAGCCTTATACTTCCAGGAAGATGCAGGAAGCTTACTTATCACTATTTCTCTTGCTAACACCATTACATCAAGACACCGACACAAACAACAGGAATGCATCTCAAAAAAAATTGTGCTGAAAGGGCAGAGAGAAAGAGTGCATGTGTGGTTCCATTATATAAAGGTCAAAACAGGGGGCTGAGGATATGGCTCAAGCGGTAGCATGCTTGCCTGGCATCCGTGCGGCTGGGGTTCAAACCTCAGCACCACAAACAAAGATGTTGTGTCCACCGAAAACTGAAAAATAAATATTTAAAAAAAAAAAAAAAGGTCAAAACAGGAAAAATGAATTTATGGCAAAAACAAGCAACAACAATGCCCAAAACAAACAAACAACAATAACAACAACAAAAACAACAACAACAAAAAACCTAAGAAAATCAGAATAATAATTCCTTCTGAGGATGAGAAGGAGGTAGGAATTAATTGAAAAGGGAGTTGAGGGAACTTATGGGGGTGATGGAATCTTAATAGAGGTTGGATTATGCAAAACTGACCAAATGGTATTTACGACTTTGCTTATTTCACTTTAGGTAAAATTTACCTTAGAAAAGCCATAAAAAGAGTAAAATCTAATTAATGACATGCCTGCTAAAGTGTTTAGAGGTTAACTGTACTTATATCCATCAAAAAATGAGTAAATGGATAAATAAGTGGATCAATAGATGACATGAGTAAATGGATAAATGTGCAATAAAATGAAATAGAGAAAAATGTTGTGTTGAGTCTAGGTGGTAGATATGTGGGGGGAGTATCATTCTTTTATTTTTTTCTGTAGTTTTTAAAACTTTTATGATAAAATGTTGGGGCAAAACAATTTTTTTTTCTTTTAAAGCAGAAGCTGAACTTGCAGCAAGTGTTCCTGCTTCCAGAAAGATGGAGTACAGTTACTTATTCCTATGTGTCTTGCTGAACATCATCACCTCCATGTCATATATTTAACAAATGTAAGAAGACTGTGAAAGGTGAAGTAACAGTAGCGCAGTCTGGGACCTCAAAACTCAAGAACCAGCATGTGGTGAGATTCCCTAGATTTGCTTCTGGCCTTACACACCCCACACTTTCAGCTAAAGAAGATGGCAACCCAGAAACACAGCCGATGGGCTCAGGTCAGAAGAGCCTCTCTCTAGCCATGGGTCCAGGGAAGGGGGTACCTAGCAAGACAGAAACTCTGTAGATGGTAATTGCTCTGAGTGGTCAAACATCACAGAAGGACTGTGACCACCATGCCAGAAAAAGTTGAGTGGAGGAACTACACTTGCACTCTCACTGGGCTCCAACAAGGGACCCTAACACCCCTGAGGGAGTTGGAGTCAGAATCCAGTCTTGTGAGAAAAGACCAGCTAGGGAGCCAGGACCTTCACATCTGCCATCTGCTAATGAACCATCCCCAGGAGCATGGATTTCCACCCCATCCACAATAACCAAATGTTACTCCCAGTACTGGGCTGGTGTCAAATCACTGCCCACTGGGAACAAGGTCACCATCCCTTTGGGTCCTTGAAGACCATGTGGGTATCTGACAGTCCCACACCTACCCAACAGTAATGAGGACCCCCCACCCCCATACACAGTGTGCTAACAGAGAACAAGAAGGGAAGATGGATTCTAACTCCACAGGGGAGTGGGAGAGGGG